TATTGTAAAATATTTTTAGGAAACTACGGGTTCTGTCCCCCACCCAATTTCACATTCAGTTTGTCATTCCATTCGCGTTTTCCCAACACCCACAAAACACTTATTAATTCAAGACGAAATCTTTCGATTTTAGATTACCACGGACAACGTCATATGCATACTATAAATCTGAGTTCTTGCCATATGTGATCTCTTTATTTTATGGTTAAAGTATGGGGGCGTATGAATACATTAACACAAAAGGTCAACATATATAATATACAGTATGTACTAGATTAAACACTTAAAAACCTAGTTTTTTCAGCAATATAGTTTGTCACAGTCAGAAATATGTCTTTCCAAAAATAAAAACGCCATTATATTGTCAAGTTAGTTTTAATTGATAATGTACATTATATTACGCACCTTTTAACCTCTTTTAACATACTGCGTCATACTTAAACACGTTGTCACGTCATAACAGTATTCTCTTTACCAAAAATGTAAAATGAACGTCTTTAAGTAAACGTTTAACCATTCCACAGCTATTCTTGTCGTCATGGTATCTTTATACAAATCGGGATACATTAATTATAGCCATGTACACTATTGCATAAATAAAAGTTACAAAATCAAATATTAACAAAATTCTTTCAGAGTAATTATTTGTATCAGGGTTTAACTTGACAATGCATGTTCCGATATGAATAATTTTCGACAGAATGTGGTATCATGTTCATAAGCAAATTGCAATGTTCATGTGTTACGCTTTATAATTATTAGGATGCAAAACTTATTATAAATTATGCCATCACAACAATGTATCACAAATAATTAAGTATGTTTATGTCTACATGTTATGCATCAACCAAATTTTATTAATGGTAGATAAATAAGCATGTAGACCTATCACAGATTAATATTGTGCTGACAATAAATACTTCTTGGCTGATAAATACTCCTTCTGCAGCTTTAAAACTGTATAGTGCATTTTGGAACAGCAAAATTGAATTAAACTAGATCTTGTGCCGTATTGATTAGTATCTCTAACACATTTGAATTTTAATTTAAGGTATGATGGACAATTATTATGAAAAATCTTATGTACATGATTTAGTTTTAACTGTTTAACCCGGTTTTTAACATTTAGTATTTTAAAATCTGAATATGAAACATGATCTCTACGTGCAAGCCCATGTACAAATCTAAGAGCCTTATTTTGAACAACTTGTATTTTATTTTAATACCAAGCTGAGCAGGCATAATTATCAAAGTGGCACTGAATAAGTGCAGAACAGAGTAAATTTTTAGTTTTTTTGGCTTAAGGTTTTTTTATTCTTAAGTTCGCTTTCTTATTAATATTGTTGATAGTCTCCTCACCAGACAGGTTTTTGTCGAAATATGGACCGAAATATTTTAGACTATCCGTTGGTTTTACCGTATGGTTATAACAGCCTAATGTAAACTGTTTAATATGACTTAGTTTACGTTTAGGTCGAAGGAAGAGAATACATTCGGTTTTACCGCGATGGATCGACAGTTTATCATGGATGAGCCATTCTGAACAGAAATAAAGAGCACAACTAAATGATTGTGAAAAGACTTCAAAATTCTGTTTGGAAAAAAATATTGTGCTGTCATCAGCGTATAAGATAAGTTTACATTCTGGGGGGAAGCTGATAGCCATATCGTTTACATAGCATAGAAATAGTAACGGTTCCAGGATACTACCCTGGGGCACGCCACAGATTATGGAAGCGGGGTCGGATAACGTGTCACCAACATTGCCTACTTGTTTCCTACATGAACGATATGAACAAAACCAATCAGTGTTAGTTTTTCACATAAGACACCAGGATCAACAGTGTCAAATGCTTTCTGTAGGTCAAGCATTCTCATCCCTGTAAATGGACCTTTTGTATTTTGATCTTTCAAGTGATCTAAAAGGTGCATCAGACATTAGTCTGTAGAGTATCTTCCACAAAAATCCGATTGATACTCATGGAGAAGGTTGAGTGAGATAAGACTCTAATTTAATGTATATAGATTTTTCAAGCAAATTACCTACGTCCAAAAAGCTATTCTTCTTGTGCAAAGGTTTAACTCGAGCTAGTTTCAATTCATCAGGTACTGTGTTTTCTGATATAGATAAATTGATAAGAAATTGAATGTGAAATTTTAAGACGTCAGCGCCGTCTTTTAATTCTGCCGGGATCTCATCAAGACCTGGTTAAGAGAACAAAGTTGATTGAAAATAAAACCCTCAGTTACATGATGTAAATTAAAAGAACTTTTAGGTAAGTTCTTTTTAGTGTAGAAATTCTGTAACAGAAGTGATTTAAAGTTAAACCGAATGCTAAGGGCGTGGGATTTATCCTTTTTATTGTTTTTATTTATATCCAAGATCTTTAAGATGTTGCCAGAGCTTTTTTGAATGATTTTTGTTCTAATTTGTTCGCTAAATATGTTGATTTTATATCTAATTTTAATTATATTATGCTTATTAATTGGGATCCTGTTACATTTCTTAGTAAAATTAATAGGTAAAGTAATGATCACTCAGACCTATATTTATTACCCCAGAATTACAGATTTTTTTACTAAATTTACATAATATTATGTGATTAATAATACTTTTACTTGTTTTTGTTACTCTGTTAAAAAATATATGGTATATGTTTAGAAACTAAAGGTGTAAATCCTTTTGTAATGAATCCCAATATCACTAACTTTCGTGTCACAATATACACACACACATATATATATATAAAACGATCTAACTCTCAGTTAAACATATAAGTAAAATTCAAGTATTAGAGAAAAAACGCTAGTACTTTCATCGTTAACGCATTAAAATGGCCTGACGATTCGTTTGATAACGATGAAAGTACTAGCCAAAATTTATATATATATATATATATATATATATATATATATATATATATATATATATATATATATATATCAGAATTTGTAAACAGCAATTGTAATTAACAATGCGTTCCTTGACGATGTCTATACTAACGTTTTTATAAAACTTGCAGCTTAAATGTTGGAATGCAACAAACAATTTATCTTCGTGAAATGAATACTGTTAAATATACTTTATACCAAAGATATTCGATGTCTTTATAATATATCATACTGCCATTTAGACAAATTAAGTTCTATGTATTGGGACATGTTGCATTGTAGACTTAACAATTTATTTTATGCACGATCTATTTATAATTAGAAATATGTTATAAGGTGTCTTGCACGGAGGTGATACGATATACTTATCTGTCTATTTTGTTTTGTTTCTTTGTCACATGGAAATCATGTAGTTAATAACAAATCAACAATACCTCTTTATTTACCTCTAAATATCAGAGATACGCTCTCATAAGCAGGGTTGGCTTCTCGACGGGTAAAAGCTGCTTTACTAGAAAGATTGAAATCCTACACATAAAGTTAAACTAATGATATCATCACATTACTTATTCAAATAATGGATAGAAGATAAAATACGACTGCATGAACTTCTCTTGGTACCACTTCAGGAACCAGTATACAGACTTGGTCGGCTGGCAAACTCCGTTTAGTCAAAATCATAACTATTCGCTCTAAATTTTTAAGTTTTCAGACTGGGATAGGATGAGATGCAATGCATTGAATGATTCACTGACTTACATTTACAAATTCATTACAATACAATCATCAAAAAAAATGTTTGTAGCCGCCCCCATTATCCAAATTATCCACATTCATGTAATTCTTGCTGGAAGTACTTGTATCCGCTGAGCAAAGTTAACTTTCTTTTATGATACATAATTTGAAAGAACCATAAGTATATACAATTAGTGTATTGATCGGATGGCAAAATGTAGACATAAATTATTAATTTTTAACATAATATAAACCACCGAGATCTAGTTCGTATACAGATAACCTCCATGGGTTTAATAAGGTCACCTGTTTGACCCTCTAAATTTATAGTTGGCTGAAAGCATATTTCTACTCATCTGGAAAAATGTGATGTGGTAAAGTCAGTCTTCTTCGATTCGTCGTCCTGCAAATATACTAAAAATGAACCCAGTGCAGTATTTTGGTAAAAAAATTGATATTTCCCGGTACTTAAGACAGGTCTTGTTGTATGTTTCCAATCAATGGTTATGTATTTCAGATCTCGACTGTTTATAAAATATATCTTTAAACCTTGAAATGTTGGTTAACGTTCATTCTTTAAGATGATGTTTAAAACATGTTTTTGTAGTCTCGGTACCGTATTCTTAATACAGGTTAAACAATAATATATTCCAATCAGTTTGCAAGCTTATTTATTTGATCTAATTGATTTTTGACCACCACGAAAAGGTTGGGAAAACTTCTTGGCATTTATAGGGTTTTACCTGTTTTTACCACGTGGTAATTTTTACCGACTAACCCTGTCTGTAAGTAGAAAGCAAATAGTATTTCATGAATATTATAATAATGGGGCCAGTCTTTTGCTCTGTTAACAATTGATGTATAACAACTACTATTAAATATAATGCCATACATAGATTATAAAACATCCAATGGTCGTTGATGAACAAACAAATAACAAGAGCTTTCATCTTTAATATCTATCTCTGCATGATAAGAGTGAAAAAGAACTCTTCTATTGTTCGGTTTGGGCCCCATTTCATCTTCAAAATAATGTCACACGCAGCTTCCATTCAACATATAAGATTTTCTTTGAAATATAGTAATCGGGTTTTAAATGTGAAATTATGTCTGTACAATGAGGCTATCATATACCGATTTAATGTATATAGTGAGTTTGCAATAGGGTTCAAAGTGAAAACCTTCGAAGGGTAATGTTGGTGTTGTTCTGCAAGTGATCACAGATTTGAGAGGGAGTGAAAAATAGTTTTTCTGGTTGATCATATAATAATTATAATTATACCCAAAGATATTATTGCCAGATTTATTCATTTAAAGATAATATTTATTATATAAGTGATTCCTGCTAAATATACTTTCTTCTTTATTTCCAGGTAGCAACCGTCGTGGTTTTGACCCTGTGGGTTACGGCTTTATCACAGAAAATAGATTTTTGCCAAATCTTGTGCCAAGGAAAAGGGTCATCAACTTCTTGTGAGTCGTTACTCGTTGGCTATAAGCCTGATGATTCTTTGCCGATTCTGAACCTGTATTGTTGCTTGAGTAATAAATATGTCAAAGAATTAACCGACTACTGGAAGACACTAACTAAAGGTTTCCAAGATCATCTTTTAAAGTATGAAAAGAACGCAACCCAATTGGAATATTACGCTCGTTGTATCTACAGGTGCTCCAAAGGCAACGGTCTATTATCTAAACGTTACTGCGACGACCACATGTACGATTGTCAAAGAAATATTTGTCAAAGAGATCCATAATTTTAACCCAGGACTGGCCAATAATGATCTTATTTATTATGGCCATCCATATTTATACTCTTTATTGTCACAGTGACATGAACATTATATTATTCAGTATTCGGGTAGACAACGTCGGTGGAAAAAGTCTAGTGAAAGTGAGTCGTACTATTACTGTAGAAGTTACAGCTTAACGTTATAGACGTTTCATATAAAAACACAATCAAAAATTTACAATTTTTTTATGTTTAATATCTGTAGTCATACAATAAAATGTAAAACAAATATTTGAGTGTGGTATTTGATCTTTCTACATATGACAGCTGTGTTTAACAATCAAATTTGCCATACGACAAAAGCTGTCTGTATGATCTACCCTTGAAACCCCCTTACAAATCATCTCGATACCCTATATTGCTCGAAATTTATTATCTTTTAAACTTGTAGAACAATTGTACATATTTACAATTCCGACTTGTACCACCATAAGGAAGTAAGAAAACGACTCTTTATCATTTCCCAGTTAATTAAACCTTCTAATAACTATTAGATTTTGTAGTAATATTGTATTTATCAAAGAGAAAGTGAAATATTAACTAATCAAAACACAAATACAACCATAAATGATTAGTTATCCAACTGTGCACTATAAAAACAAATACTGTACAGATTTCAGTAGGTAATGGAAGTAAAGATATAGCCATCAGCCGGCATCCTTTCATTAGCTGTTTTTGTCGAGCTTTCATTTTACGTCGAATTTTTTTTTATCCTGATTTGGGGATAATATATATTTACTTCCTTACGTCGATTTTTTTTACCCTGAGTTGGTGTTATTTACTTCCTTATGCCGATTTTTTATATCCTGGTTTGATGTTATTTTCTTCCTTATTTCGAGACTTTTAATCTTGCTTTTATTTGTACATGTCGAGTTTTTATCCTGTTTTAGTGTTCACGTAACACGACGTACGAAACGTCAAAATAATAAATATAGAAGCTGACATCCAATTCATAAAATACTTCGTACTTAATTAGAACATGCTGTAGCCAATGCCAATCGACCCAGCTTTGAGAAACTCAAAATCTATGGATTTATTCATAACAATACATCTGCAGACATTTAGGTGTACCCCACGCTCCTTGCAGTGTTTTATTTGATTAGACCTAATCCCACTTAAAGATACATTATGGGAGATTCGATAACGAGTTGGCAGTTCTCACTATAATAATTAAAAACTAGATAACGTAAAGGCAATTTGCTGAAAATTTCATTCAAATTGATCCACTATGAACCGAGAACTAAGCGAATAAAATTTCTGCCTAGCCTCGGTCATCATTACTAAAGTCAATACGTTAAACAGCATAGCCTCGATTATCCATTTAATCGTTTAATCTAGAAGGGAAGTAATGCAGTAAATCGGATCACAATCCACTTAAGATCGCAGGCTAGCGATGCCATCTAGAGTTGATTATGGTCTGGATAAGTTAATTAATGTCTAATTAATAATTTAAATAAAAAAAACAGGCCTAAAGAAAGACCTGCAATAGACAGATTTAGCTCTTGCATAATGTATGTTTAACACTGCTGTAATGGAAGCAAATTTCTGTTCCAAATTATGACTGGTCAATAGTCCGATTAACAACCAATAGCTAACTGCGTAACAAAATCATTCGGCTTTAAACAGAGCTCCAAATTGGACCAAATATGTTTACATAACGTTACGTCATGACTTAAGAAGTATTTGGCCCAATAAACTAATGCACAGCAGAATATTGCAGAAAAACTAATTGCGCGACAAACGAGGCTATAAAACGGCTACAATGTAAACAATACTGTTTGGGGACGGAACAATACTTTCACCGTTTTAAGTCACTGTCCAAAGTTTAAGCGAAAAACCCTGATTACAGATGGGCTGTCATGTTGCTGCACTTGGGATAGATTTGATCGAACAGAAAGAATAGACACACTCTCTCAAAAGCTCTAGTATCAGAAGTCAATCCAGCAATGGCCAGAGAGTGATTTCTCGGGCCATAGCTTCAGGAATATGGGTGTACCACAGCCTATAGAGGAAATGGCCGACTCTTCACATGGCATCTTTTATGGCTATTTTTGGACCACAAAAAAGGCTATAGGGAAAGAGTCAGACATTTTAAACAACTTTTAGCTTCCTAGTAAAGTGAATGTGACAATACATGTCGACGGTATCATGGCGAAAGCTTTTTTATCTTTAACATATTGAAGATAAAAAAAAAACTTTCGCCATTATACCGACGAAATGTATTGGCTGGTACAAAAGAATTACAATAGCAGAACGAAAATAAGTCAGCTATGTTAATTCCTTGAATAAAAATTGGTGTCAGGAGTTCTCGAACCAGTAAACACACCTTGTATCGTGTAAGACAACCACCAATACTGGGGCGATAGGTTAGATTTCCTATTTGTTTTATTTAAGATTAGAAAGAGAATACATTATGCAAGAGCCAAATCTGTCTATTGCAGGTCTTTCTTTAGACCTGAAATGTTATCTAAATTATTAATTAGACATTAATTAACCTATCCAGACCATATTCAACTTAGATGGCATCGCTAGTCTGCGATCTTTAATGGATTATGAGCTGATTTACTGCATAACTTTCCTTCACGATTAAACGATTAAATGGATAATCGAGACTATGCTGTTTATCGTACTGACTTTAGTAATGATGATCAAGGCTAGCCGGAAATTTCAACCGCTTAGTTCTCGGTTCATAATAACTCGTCCTTAATTCTTATTTCTTCATTTGTTGTCGTATTTCGACATTTGTACCCTAAAATTAACATTCGTATCTTAAAATTAACAATTGTATCTTAAAATTCAAATTTGTAACATTTGTATCTTAAAATTAACATTTATTTGTCTTAAAATTAACATTTGTAACATTTGTATCTTGAAATTAACATTTGTATTAACATTTGTATCTTAAAATTAACATTTGTATTTTAAAAATTAACATTTGTATCTTGAAATTAAACATACATTATGCAAGAGCTAAATCTGCCTATTGCAGGTGTTTCAATAGGCCTGAAATGTTATCTAAATTATTAATTAGACATTAATTAACTTATCCAGACCATAATAAACTCTTGATGTCATCGCTAGCATGCGATGTTTATTGGATTACATTCCGATTTGCTGTTCGACTTCCATTCAGGATTTAATCATGAAATGGATAATCGAGACTATGGTTTTTTTTATCGTACCGACTTTAGTAATGATGATAGAGGCTAGGTCGAAAATTCAATCGCTAAAATCTCGGTTCTGAGTGCATCAATTTGAATGAAATTTTCAGCAAATTGCCTTTACATTATCTAGTGTTCAACTATTACAGTGAGACCTGCCAGCTCTTTATCTAATCACCCATAATGTATCTTTAACATTTGTATTTTAAAATTAACATTTTTATCTTAAAATCAATATTTGTTTTTTAAACAGACATACAACAAAAAACAAATCTCGAACAACAAATTTCGAAATACAAATCTTGCAAAACATTTGTCAAAAAACATTTCTCCAAATTCATCAAACGGGAACGCTATTGGTGAGCCGAAATCAACTTGGCATACAATAAGTTATCATACAATAATGAAGAATCAAGCACGCAAACAACAAGAAAAATCGCAGACAGTCGCTTATTGTTTTAAAGTTCCTGTATGTCTGGGACACTGTTCCCGATGTCGCAGTTTGATTTGGTACACGATTTCACTTGGTGTCTTATACCATAATGTACTCCCTAGACATATCTAATGATAATGTGTAAACAGGAAAATATTATGTAATATAGATAGGAAATTCAACATCAGAGTGTTGGATTGGTAAAAAGTTCCCTGTAGAGTTTCTCAAAAATATGTAGGGTTTGTCAAACCGCTACATTGGGAATCAGAAAACATATCGAGAATCACGGGAATTCCCGGAAACAAACCCTATTCTTGACTTATGACCCCTTTTCACATAGACAAATAATATGGAATGAACAAAATGGAGATTAACGTCCTACTGTTCTGCTCTGACTATGCTAATGAAGGCGGGCATATGCAATACGGTGTGCTATGAGGTAAATTTTGCCCGAACAGATGCGCTATGGCCTCCTCTTTTATCAATACTAGCTGTCGCAGGATCTTTCACGTGTACGCCAATGTGTACACAGAACCTCGGTTTTTCGTCCCATTCGAACGACTATACGTTGTCCCTTGCCAGGCCGTCCTTTTAGCATCACTGAAAGGGGGGGGGGCACGCCTGGAAATACCGATATACTTTCTCGGCCAACATTGGACCCCTTACGCACTGAGGCACTGTGCCACAGTGGCTCCTCAAATAATATGGACTATCCTACTGCCTTAAAAATTATGACCCCATTACTTAAAAAGAATACAAATGCAGCAGTCTTTATAGACTGAACTGAATACATATACTTGGCTGATGAGGGCATATGTTTCGTTGGCTGGTAACCTATCATTTGACAATAAAGACTTAATATTGCAACATGTTTCATAAAAAGGCAGTGCGCCCTCTTAGCTGTGAATGTGAACATAAACTTTGACGGCTGGTAATTTTTTAGGGATTCCCTTTACTAGCTGTGCTACCCGGCGTTGCACGATTGTAATTTATCTGTGTTTTAGTAACATCCATCATGTTGTCCGGAACGTTTGTCCAATACTGTCCATGTTTCCGAACCAGTCAGTTGAATACTATGTAAAGCAACGCCAGTTGACGGCTAATAGCTTTGAAGGACATTCCTCAGAGTCCTATGCCCACACTATCGAACCAAACTGTGTAGCATGTGGAACTGTAACATTTTGTTCGTATCGTGGTAGGGGACGGGAAGCTTGAATTACTACAAATGTAAGAAAATGAAATATATTTTAAAAGAGTTACATGTAAATATAAAGGTTTTCTGTATATAGAGAAAGGTTATAAAGTGATAGATCTGTTACTTTATTGATGTTAAATTTGATATAAAAAAGATGAGTTTGAGATTTTACTTTATCATCCAGTATAAAAATTGTAACGGGAGTGATTTTCCAGCAGTAAATTAAACCAGTACCCCCACCCCAGGATATATTATTGCAGTAGATATGAATTTAACCAAATCTGAGTTTTGAGAAGTGCCCATTTCTTTTTCAGGTAACGCTACTATTGGTTGTGTCAATGACATATTTATTATGGTTTCCGGCGTTGAGTACATCTTCTGTAGATTACTGCCAAGTTGCCTGTCAGATAGAGGGGTCATCAACAGAATGTCTAAATGTACT